AAGCCGCTTTCTTCTTTCAAGTAGAGACAGCTTTCTCCTCATCTCACGTTCTCAGAGCCTCATCTTGCTAGCAGCCACTGCAAACTGCTTCTTCAGCACTCAGACACCACCTGGCCTCACGTGTGCACCTGACCTTTCATCCCCCTTCTTCCTCAGCCACCCTCTCCCAGACTAAATCTACACCAATAATTCAAACACCCATGGAATCTTGGTTTCTGGAAGCCTACTCTCAAATTAGCATCCAACACCAAGAAGTGATGAAATAATCAGAACTGCTCATCCATGGTGGCTAGTCATTAATCTCTCATCCTTCCCCATCCAGGTTACTTCTTCTAGGCTACTCTTAGAATCCCTTGTTTCTAAACAGACCTGACTCCCTTGCCTGTCCTTCTATCACATACTTAACTGTTGAAAATCCTAACATGAGTAAATCTGATGGTCTACCTTCTCCACACTCTATTCCCCACCACAGAAAAGTGACTAATCAAATTTAGAGTTAAAAAAAATAAAATAAAATAATGGGTAGCACCTGTGGCTCAAGGAGTAGGGCACTGGCCCCATATACCAGAGATGGCGGGTTCAAACCCAGCCCTGTCCAATAACTGAAAAAAAATAAAAAATAACTAGTTGGTAGGAATGTAAAATGGTGCAACTCCATGGAAAATAGCATAGAGGTTCCTTAAGAAAAATTTAAAGAGGCTCGGCACCTATAGTACAGTGGTTATGGCATCGGCCACATACACGGAGGCTAGCAGGTTCGAACCCAGCCTGGACCAGCTAAAATCAACCATGACAACTGCAACCAAAAAATAGCCGTGTGTTGTGGCGGATGCCTGTAGTCCCAGCTACTTGGGAGGCTAAGGCAAGAGAGTCGCTTAAACCCAAGAGTTTGAGGTTGCTGTGAGCTGTGACACCACAGCATTCTAGCAAGGGTGACATAGTGAGACTCTGTCTCGAAAGAAAGAGGGAGAGAGAGAGAGAAAGGAAAAAAAAAAGAAAGACAGAAAGAGAGAGAAAAGAAAAAAGAAAAATTTAATGAATAATTGCCATATGGGCCAGCAATCTCACTTTTGGGTATATAGTCAAAAGGACTAGAAGTGGGGTCTTGAAGAGATACTTGCAAACCCACATTGATAGTAGCTTTATTCAGAACAGTTTAGAGGTAGAAATGATCTAAATGGCTATCGGTGGATTGATGGATAAATAAAATGTGCTATATACATACAATGGAATATCACTCAGCCTTTAAAAAAAAGGAAATTGTGTTACATGCTACAAGATGAATGAGGCTTGCTAAGTGAAATAAGCCAGTTCACAAAAAGACAAATACTATATGATTCCATTTATATGAGATACGTGAAATAGTCAACTTTATAGAAACAAAGCAGGAGGGTTGGTGCCAGGTGGTGGGGTGGGTGAAGAGAACTTCCCAACAACCCAGAGAAGTTGTTCACGGGTACAAAGTTTCAGTTGTACAAGATGAAAAATGGATGGAGATCTGTCTCACAACAATATAAACATATGTAACACAACTGAACTGTGCACTCAAAAATAGTTAATAAATTAGATATATATATATATATATTTTTTTTTTACCAAAATAAAAAAAAATGACAAAAAAAATCAAATAAAACTATGGAGGCCACACTCTGTGGTAGTGCTGAGCCATCCTCTGTCTTCCTCTGAGCATCACACCCCATCATGCCCATAGTGAGGTTAACAAGTCATCAAGTGGCAAGGCCCAGGCAGGTTTCTGTTCTCTTTGCAAGGGCAATTCCAAACTCAAGATTCAGTCTAAGGCTTTGGGTCCAAATCAAAAGAATAAAAAGGGTTAACTAACGGCCAGTTGGATATTTTCAAATTCCCTTTAATGATATGCTCCAGCAGCTAACTGAAAACCAATAGCCTTTCTGGCTATGCCCCTCATAATTTATTTATGCTCATTAATATACAAACATCAGCTTCTCAGCTGGCAGTGATTTTATCAATTTTAAATTTACATGGGGTAAGCCAGAGATTAAACCTTCAAACTGAAGCCAACAATATAGGAAATGTGAGTATTATTTTAATCTCTAGCTTAGGAATTGTCAAATGAATTAATTGACTTTATCACATAAACAATTACCTGGGAATTACCAAAGCAAGTCCTCTGTGAGTTTTTGGCTTTTGGGTAATAATATATGCTTTTTGCTTTTGGGTAATAATATATGCTTTTTAAAAATGGTCTGTTTGGGTATCATTAGAAACAGTGAAACTGAAGATGTTTCTTGTCATCAATTTTGATCTTGGAAAACCTCCAGGCCACCTGGCAAATATTCACACAGATTCAAATGCTAAAGAAAAGCCACAATAATTTGTAGCTTTGTGATATGTACAGAACTCATTTCAGTAGAAAGGAAATCAGATAAAAAAGCAAATTAGAAGAAAGAAATTGGGAAACTCTGAACTCAATTCCTTCTGGAATTGTAAATCAAATACTATATCATTAACTCTAAAACAAGAAAGAAAAGGCAAAGGAAGAGCTTTCCCCTTTGAGGGCACTGCCCAATAAAACTAGAATGCAAGCCACAGACACAATTGTTTTCTACAATAAACATTAAGTAAAAAGTTTTAAAAGCAAACAAATTAAAAAATTAATTTTAATAGTTTAACCCAATGTTCCCCAAATATTCTGATACCAACAATCAATATCTTAAAATTTATCAATAAAACGTTTCTTTTTATTCTCAGTAAATCTTTGGAATCTTGTGTACCTACTTATAACACATCCAAGTTCAGACAAGTCACATGTAAGTGCTAAAGTATTGTCCTAGTGGCAACCATATTGAAAGTGCAACTATGGGACCAAAGATTACATGTTCTACTGGCAAGACAGAAGCTAGCTCTTACAATCTGAGCATATCTCTACATGGTACTCCCTAGTCTAGACTGCTCTCATTTAATGTCTCAAATATTTACAATAGCTTGAGTGGATGCATTAGCTGCTCCTTCAGCTAGATCACTGTTAACTATTTTGATCATTATGGTATAGATTGAGTATCCTCTATCCAAAATGCTTGGGACTAGAAATGTTTCAGATTTTAGATTTGGGGGGATTTTAAAATATCTACATATACATATTTGGAATTTTCTACTGTGACACCATGTTGGTGATCAAAAAGTTTTGAATTTTGGAGCATTATGGATTTCAGATTTTCAGATGTAATATCAGTAATATCAGTTTTCAGATGTAATATCAACTGAGGCTGGGTTTGAACCTGCACCTCCAGCATATGGGGCCGGCACTCTACTCCTTTGAGACACAGGCACCACCCCATTTGAAATTTTTTAAAAAATCTGTTTGCTGCTATTGTTTTCTTAATTTTTTCTTTTTCTTTTCTTTTCTTTTCTTTTTTTTTTTTT